TTTGCTGGGACGCGCGTGTTGATCGTAGCACAGCGTCTGGCGGCAAGACAGTGGTTGTGACTGGAGCCGGGGGCTTGAAGAAGCTGTCGTCGATCGCGTTTCCGTGCGCAAGTTGTGTGCGCAAGGCTGCTGCAACTTGTGTCGGTTCGGACGTGGAGACCAATGATGCTGGCAGGTTGTCCGAGGTCCCTGCTACATTCATGTGGGATGAGGATGAAAACGCAGAGCTCGGTGTGCCAACGACCGTCCTGTACGAGTTGTGTGACGCGTTGCGGCCTTTTGAGCGGAACCGATTGGGGAGAATGAGTTTGCCATTGCTGTCGCAAGTGAGGTCAAACGTGCGCAAGGCTCGTTTGACGCGTGTGATTAAACTACAGAAGCACCAAAGACGCGGGGGGGGGGAGAGAACCAAAAAAGCGAGTGAGAAACACGCACAGTCAGCGCATGGTCGACCTGCCAGATAATAGCTGTGACGAAAAGCAAAAAGAGGCTGGAGGTCTCACATATGTGGAGCATTAATCTTGTTCTGATACGAGCCGGTGAGAAAGAAGACAATCAACGAAATCCAGCTGAACAGCAGATTTGGCTCGCCAAACAAGAAGTTTGAAAAGTAGTGCTGCTGGTGCGTTTCCAAAAGCCAAGAGCCAAAAGCCAACAAAAGGAGGGTAAGTTTCGACCGCAATAATGCAACCATCCAACCTTCTGCGTTGGCGCTATTGTGTGTGGTTGAACTTTGACAAGTCGAACAAAAAAAATCCGTACATTCGGCTCGTCGGTGGAAATCAACTGCAACCGAGCAGCCTCGTCCAGTGCTCCGTGTAAGCCGGCAGTGGCTGCGTCATCCGTCTGTGCGCTGCTGGCTGGAGGTCGGCTTGGGTCGTCGTTCGCAGCAGGCACTACTGCCGTCCACCAGCGATAGACATTGAACAAGTGCCAGAGCAGCAGTACGCCCAACAGAGCTGTTTCCCGCCAGCCCCCACCCAAAACAAAACCAAAACCAGTCCCCAGAGTCATTATGATGTGAGTCGTGAGTTTGACCACAGGCAACCGTCCCAAGGGCGACTTTGAGAGCGCACATACCCATGTAACGTTGCCGAACTCGCCGTAGCGCATCCACCTGCTGGACGAGGCTCCGCTCAAACGCAACAAAGTCTGCTCCAAACCGAAACATACACACGCATAAAGCCAAACCGTCGGGTTTCCACAACAGTGAGCAAGAACGGACGAGTCGCTCAGCCATTCAGCAGCCATCCATTCAGCCATTTTCAGTCAACCCACCTTCCTTCCCTTGGAGCATTCAACGACGACAACAACACGACTGAACTTTGTGATATTGCATCACAATCCATGTTGAGTGTCTATGGTTGCACTTTGATGATTTGAAGGAACCTGCACAATCTCATTGTGTTGAAATTCAGACCAGTTCCCGCTTTCTCGCTGCACTATGCGCTTTGCATTGTTTCTTTTGATTGCGATTGCACAATGTAAGGATTTGTTGTGCTTGTTGTGGTTTGCATGCTTTTTGCCTGCAAAGTCGCACGACTCCAAATCATCCCTTCGCATTCGGCGGGGCGGTGACCACCTTCCACTCAAATTGAAATTGAATTGGGACAATCGGGGGATCGCATGGGGTCAGTCCTCTTGTAAACATCACATACAAAGACCCACACACACACAGCACTCGACTCGATGCAGCACAGTTTGCGATTCAAAAATGAGCACAGTTCGCTTTGCGAGATCGCTTCGGTTGCTGCGTGCACAAGAAGGAAGGATACCACGAGGAGGGATTTTGGCGGGATTTGGCGGGAAATCTCAATCCGAACAATACCCGGTCGTCGGAAGGACAAAGAGAGCAGTCCGCACCACTCCGACTGTCGGACTTGGCACAGGCACATGCCTCATCCTGGCATTCTTGCACGGATGGGGATGCTGGGTCGGCGACGGCCGAGGAGGCCATCGTTGCGGTCGTTACAATACAGTCCCACGCCTCGGCCAACCTCACTTCACTCACAACGCCATGCACACGACGCCGCGTACTCAATCAGAATGCACCATGCCATTACAAACACAACTTTGTGCAAAACCCACTCACTTGTTGCTTCCATTGCTCCAATTTGTGCTTTTTGATTCTGCTTCCCATAGTGACAAATTTCCACCCAACTCAAGTAACCTCAAAACAAACTTTCGAATGACATCCATCATTTCAACTGCCGAGGCCTTTGTTCGCGAGCAAATGCTTGGAAACGACGCGTCGCACGACTGGGCGCACGTTGATCGCGTGCGCAACGTGGCCGTTCGCATTGCGAAACGTGAGCAGGCTGCCAATCCCGCAATCGACCTCGAAATTGTCGAGCTGGCTGGTATTCTCCACGACGTTGGTGATTTCAAGTACTCGGGCAGGTCAGTTGGATCAGGTTTTCAACGCTGTGCCATGAATTCTGCTTGTTGGTCTGTCCGCAATGTTTTTTTGCTCAAACAAACCCGCCACACTCACTGTTTCGAGATGCAGTGAAACCGCCGGAGAAGAAATGGTCGTTGCCTTTTTGAAAGATCAAGGGTATGCTGCAGATCGCGCAGAGCGTGTGGCATACATTGTGGGTAACCTTTCGTTTCGCAAGGAGCTTGGCAAGGGTGCTCAAGCCCACGCAGAACCGATCGAGCTGCAAATCGTGCAGGATGCCGATCGATTGGATGCGATTGGTGCCATCGGTATGGAGTTTTTGCGATTGGATGAAGCGTGTCCCTTATTTTTGGTGGCAGGCGATTCTGTTGGTTTGGGTTGGCTCATCTACGATCCTCTCTACCCTCCCCCCCCACCTAGGTGTCGCTCGCTGCTTGACGTTCGGTGGTGCGAAACACCGCACACTTCACGACCCGGCCATCCCTGCGCTGGTGAACATGACCAAAGAGCAATATAACGGGCTCAAGAACAAGGGCACCACGATGAATCACTTCCCAGGTACGTACGCCCTACCGCGCGTGATGCCCCCTGCTCGATGTCGCTCCATGTCGTGACGGCGTGAATGGTGCAGGACGACACAACCTTACGTTGAGTTTGATGGTTGTTTGCAGAAAAATTGCTCAAGCTCAAAGATCTCATGAAGACAAACACTGGCCGCGAAATGGCTGTGACGCGTCATGAATTTATGCTCCAGTTCCTCGATCAATTCTATGCTGAATGGAATGGCGCAGTGTAACACGAACGAAATTGTAGGCACTGAATTCGGCTATCCTTGGATTAAACATTGAGTGGACGAAAAGCGCAGCATGCGCAAAATCTCAATT